CAGGTTGAGGAGTATAATTATAGTTTCTAATACAGCTTTTTTTGTCTCCTAAATTGTGCAAGCTTTAGAGCTCACACCAAGGTCTTGTCCACCTGCAGTAAATCAGCATGGATGATATTTTATTGATATCAGTGCAGAGAACTTAATAATTTCATAGTCTCTGCGTGTCTTTTTAGGCTTATACTTACACTCAAGGTAAATGCATTCCTGTTCCCCCCCCACCATTTCCAGTCATTTTCTTGAAGGATTTCTGGCAGCAACCAATGTCTTTTTAAAAAAAAAAAAAATTTATTTGATTATATAACTCAGTTTTGCAAGGTGCAGAGAGAAGTGCCAGTCTCCAAAAAACCAGGGCTGTTGAATGGATCCAAGAATCAGTTCAATTTCTATATAAGCAAAGTAGCTCCAAACAGAACAGCCCCAGGCACAAGCACATTCTACCCATCAACTGTCTGCAATAGAGCCTCATAGGTTTGTTTGTCGTGCCCCACAATCATTTTCCTTTCTCCAGATCTCTTCTTTTCCCAGTGGGCATTCAGTTTTGTTGAGGGTGGTAAAGATCAATACAAACCACTGGCTCAGAGTAAGTATCTGATGAAGAGTGTAAGAACAGAATAAACGTTGGTTCTTTTCCCAAAGTACTCTCCTAGCCCCCTGCAAATTGCATCTTGCAGAGTTCCTGGGCTAGAATTGGGGTTTGTTTTAACAGTTCTCAATAGATTTCTTCTTCTTCCATGAACACTTCATTGCTTTTGGGACCCATATATATTTTTAGACTTGCACAAATCCTGTGGAGAGGAGTTCCACAACCTGACAATGTGTTGCACACAGACATATTTACTTTTGTTTTAATCTACATCCTAATCATTGAACAGTAATTCCCTGTTTCTCAGAGTAATCATAATTTTATAGATCTAATCTCTCCACTTTGAAAGTTTATGTGATTCTTAGGCACAATATGGATACGTGGAAGCGACCTGTTTTGCCACGAAACAGACAAAGAATTCAAGCTGTTTCTGATTCTAATAGAGATAGTTTTCAGATTAAGACGGCTTGCTGTATAAAGATTAAAGATTAATTTCATGTACCAGGCATCACTGCCAGTGCATTTTGCACCTCAGCAGATGGAATGCACATCGTGATGCCATGTAGATTATTAACACTTTTGCCTTTTGCACTTGCTGATGAAAATGTATTCTTTTGCAGCCTGCTAGTAGTGGCTGATTAACAATCCTCTAGTTAATTCTGAACTTAGCAAGGTTTTATTACATAGGCTTGAGGAATACGTACATGTTTTTAATGAAGAACACAAAAACTTTGAGAAGTATTATGAAAGATGAGTTTCCAGTGCTGTCCATTTCCTCACTGTTACACCCCACCTACCAGAATTTTATGTTAATCCTCTGTTTTCTTTTACGTACCATATATTTCCACATGGAGAACACATGGGCACTTTTTAGCACTGCAATTCAACAGTTGTTGTAGAAAGATGTGTACATGAGACATGCCGATTCACTTCACTACTGTTTTTGCACTCTCTTATGTTTGTGAATATATCCGCCACAACATCTCTGCACAGACAGAGCAGCTCAGTCTGACAAAGGCCTTGCTGTGCTGTGCAGATGAAAACAAAACCAGCTGAAAACCAGCTGTGTAGCATACTCTAGGGTCTGAGGAGTGATCCCTCCAACACTTTGTAAGGCTGTGCACAGCAGTGCAAGTACTACTCTAACAGCTAGTGATGTGTCTTGCAGTTTCACACACCCACTACAAAGTAATTTGTCATGAAAGTTACTCTAGGTTTCTTCAAATACATGTGAGGAAAATTCCATTTCTTGTTCTACACTATTTTATTATTTTAATTGCAGAATTGTCCCAAATCTGCAGTGGGTAAAAAACAGCTCTGCATTTGCTAGGGTAGCTTACTTTTACTAAAAGGATTTTCTAAGTAACATACAGAATGATTTGTCTGACAACATTTTTATTCTGTAGGGATCGATTCAGAACAATGGTGAATGTCTTGGGAGATGCCTTTGGTACAGGGATAGTGGAGAAGCTCTCTAAAAAGGAGCTGGAGCAGATGGATGTCACCTCTGAAGTCAACATAGTCAATCCTTTTGCCTTGGAAACGATACTTGATAATGATGAAACAGAGACCAAGAAATCATACATCAACGGAGGGTTTGCTGTAGATAAGTCTGACACCATATCCTTCATGCAGACGTCTCAGTTCTAAAGGCAGTAGCTTTCAGGTGAAACAAGAGCACTAAAGGACACGGCCATATGCATTATCTCAAAAAGCTTAAAGGATAATTGAGATTTAATTACATGACACATGCATTTGATTTACCACACAGATTCTGATTGTCCTTACCAACTCTGTCCCCTTCTCACCGCCTCTCCCAACAATTTGAACTCACCACTTTTAGTCCTTGCTGATAGGTTGAAGAAAAAGACAGTTATAAAATACATTGGGGATTTTTTTTTAAGAATAAACACTGTTGCTGAGGCTATGAAACGCCTCTTTGGAATCAGCATGCTCATCAGTGGATATCTTAGCTGGGACAGACAAATGTGTTTTACTCAGGAGTAGCACAGCATTTCATATCTTACCCACATTACAAAGCACCTGTATGAAATCCCTTTTAACATCCTTGCCTTCTAAACAGATTGCACTGTACTTGACACCTACTGTAACTTGATCACGTGCCAAAATACTCATTTCTGCAGCTGAGAGGATACCACTTGAATGATTCAGGAAGGAACAGACAAGGAAGGCCACGTAAAAAGTATTCTACTGTGAGCAGGGTTTCATTTTTCTTTAATTGTGAAATAATTTGGCATGGAATAATTTCCAGCATTGCTGTAGCTAAGTTTCCCCATGCCTTTCATATGAGTGCCAGCTGCTGGGATTGACCTGTCTGGCATTTGAAGAGTTTTTGTAAAGTAGTACATCACCAATGTAGGTCCACTTTCAAGGCCTCCTAGTACATTTCGCAAAGCAGAAGTAATAGAACCATTAGAATCATTAAGGTTGGAAAAGACCTCTAAGAGCATCAAGTCAAACCATCGCCCAACACTACCATGACTATTAAACCATGTCCCCAGGTGCCACATCTACACGTTTTTTGAACATCTCCAGGGATGGTGACTCCGCCACCTCCCTGGACAGCCTGTTCCAATGCCTCACCACTCTCTCAGTAAAGAAATTCTTCCTAATATCCAATCAAAACCTCTCCCAGTGCAACTTGAGGCCATTTCCTCTCATCCTATTGCTAGTAACCTGGGAGAAGAGCCCAACACCCACATCACCACAACCTCCTTTCAGGTAGTTGTAGAGAGCAATAACATCTCCCCTCAGCCTGCTCTTCACCAGGCTAAACAAGCCCAGTTCCCTCAGCTGCTCTTCATAAGTCCATTTGCTGTTTTTCACCTTTGACTCTAAGCAAATATTAATCAGCCCAAAAGTAGGCAGAGGTCATGAAGATGAAAATAGACTATGAAGCAATGTGTAGTGCAAATTCTAAACCTTTCCTCCTTGGAATAAAACCAGATACAGTATCGGGAATATAGGAGGAATGCCTTTATCTAGAAAGAAGCCACTGTCACTGAACTTTTTACACAGACTGGTTGTTTTTTTGGTTGTTGGTTTAGTTTGCCAGTTGAATATGGAAGTTTGTAGCTGCAATACTACTACAGTGCCAACACATCAGCTAAACTGTATCTTCATAAGCATTTCTGGACCCAGAAAATCACGTCTTCAGATGGCTTGCTCTAGGATGAGAAGCACTGAGAACTTCTTCATAAGAAATCTCCATTTTCTAAAACATTTTATACAAGATTTCCATGGTGCCAAAATCACTCTCTCAAGGAAAGAGTTTCTGTAACAATTCTTTTTTGCTTTGCATATTAAAGTCGTTAGCCATTTTATATGTAAAGTAAACTGAAATTCATATACAGTTAATTGTAAATAAGCTTGTGGTAGACCTATAATTGCACTCAGATGCTGACAAAAACCCCGTCAAGTTTCTGCAGTGTTACATTCTCAGTCCTACAGTTTTGTATTTAAATAAACCAGAAGCGTGCCAAAGAAAACTCATTAAGAAGAAAATATTTACTGTAGGTTTTGATAAATTGCACCTTAAATCAACAAATCAATGAGATATAATACTGTATTAAATTAAACATTGTAACCTATATGGAAATGTTAACCTAAGCATTGGTATGTTTATATAAATTAAAATCCACGGATTGAGTAGATCAATCTTTTACCTGTGCAGAAGTAGTATCAGACAGTCTGTATTTATACAGCTTTGCTTTTGGAAGGGGATAACGTACCCAGTTTGCACAACTGGCCTATAATCCATGCTTTGTCTTCGCTTTTTTAAGTCACCCTTTTATGATCACCCCGTTATGTAGTCACTCTGTTATGATGTACTGTGAACAGTGTTCCTAACGTGTTCTAAATAAATAATTTCTCTCTTTACTCTTGTTTTAGCCTACATTCCTCTCCTCACTGCAGAATATGGAGTTCCTTTAGCTAGAGCAAGAAAAGCAAAAACTATTGAATTTAGGATTTATGTTATCTTCAGTGGTGACTTGACTGTAGCTTTGGCAAGAGTTACTCTCTTCTTCCAATAAAATAAATGCTTAAGAGCACAGTGCTGAGATTGCATGAAAGCCCTCTGACTATGGGTGGTCTGGTTTGGGAGCATACTATTAAAACACACGCTAAGCAAGGGTTTATTTATTTATTATTTATTTATATGGATCAGATTCAATTAAGCAGGGGTTGATGGTGCTGTCTTGACATCTATTCACTATCAAGAGACCAAAGCATATCTGAAGATGCTGTTAGGTTCAAGGATGCTTTTCCTGACACCCTATTCTGCATATATACCTCCTGTGTATGTGGAAAAATCCTGCATGCGCAATGTGTCCTCCTTCCCACAGCCTCCTGGTCTAGAAGCTTTGGAGAGTGGTGGAGAGTCTTCCATCAGAAAAGCACCTGTAGGTTTGGTTCCTTTACACCATGTTGTTACATTCCTGTAGGATCTCTGGGGCTGCAGAAGCTATCGTATTTTAATAGCACATGTGGCTTGCATTTTAATAACACATGTGGCTTGCAGTCTTGG